GAGAGAGAGAGAGAGAGAGAGAGAGAGAGAGAGAGAGAGACAGATAGCAGACAGACAGAGAGAGAGAAAAACAGAGAGAGTGAAAGAGAGAGAGAGAGAGAGAGAGAGAAAGAGAGAGAGAGAGAGAGAGAGAGAAAGACAGAAACAGAGACAGAGAGAGACAGAGAGACAGAGAGCAAGAGAGAGTTTCTCAGAGACAGAGAGAGACGGGGACAGAGCGTGCAAAACGAGATATTTGCTTACTACGCCCGTCTGCCTATTTCTCTGTTAGTCTGCTGTTCTGTTTCTATGTCCGTCTATCCGTCTATCTCCCCTGTTCTCCCAAACGTCGTTAGCAAACCCAATTATCTATAGAGGGCTCAACACAAATTGCAGTCCAGCTGGATCAGACTGAAAAGATATATGACCGAAGTCTGGGCTATCCAAAGTCTCCGCTATCACAAAGTCTCCGCTATCACTAAGTTGTGACCACTGTGTCCAGATAAGTAAAGCACAAAGTCGGCTAACGACCCATGCGTGGACGGATTGGCGGCCTCTGGTCAGTGCAGTCGATTGCTCCATTGTCTCAGGGCCGGGGTCAGAAAGGGAGAAAAAACCCTTGCCAAACATAAGGAAGTCAATACCCGGGCTCTAGACCGGCCACCATTCCTTGGGACTGCAGTCTGGCCGTGGTTATGAAAATACCAGTGTGTTTGTGCGTCTGTGTGTGTCAGAGTGGCGGAAATTATTTTGATTACTCTTGATTTTGTGGACAGTTCTTGACGTGTAGTGTATTGAAGCGAATGTGTGCCCCAGTGTTCATTTCAGTGAGGTTTTATGGTTACCTTATCTGGGTTTTAATAAGTTAAGGAGCGTCTCTAAACACCAAGTGCAGAATGGCTTCGCCACAGATATCAATGTTGTCTGTTCACATGAGCAATGTGAATGCATGCGCTTGTCCTGGGATTTTTCCCCCTCTGAATACATAAATATAGAAAACGCATTAGGTCGCTCTGCCCTAAGGGAAGGAAATGGGCTGCTGACGTCAGATATGTAAATGACAGCCACCTCAATGTAGCCTATCTTTTCTTTTCACAGGGTTTCAACATTCTAAAGCCTACTTGGCTTTTTTTGTAATACAATTCAGCTTTTCTATTTTGCTTTTGCTTATTAAAGATTCGTTTCGTAGCAAGTATTGGTGTGTACATATCTGTGTGTATGTGTGCTCGCGTGCTCACGAATGTGTAGGAATGAAAAAGGTGGGCGGTAGATGTGTGTAGAAAAAAAGGGGAGGGGGATGAGCTGAATGACAATACTAAGATCACACATTTTCACTCTGACATGGTGTAAATATCGCCAAGTCAAAGGAATAAGGACAGTGTATTTCGCCCAAGGCCACGTTCACTAGCTTTTGGTCCATTAAGGTGCCGGATTTTGAGCATAATTTACTTTCCACCTGGAGATTTTGTCCTTGTGAAATTACTTCTAGTGTGAAGTCGAAGATCCTGTTTGCAAAGAGTATAAAATGGTGGCCAGGGGAAAAAAAGGGGTGGGGGCGGGGCAAAAGTCTGCCACGAGCGAAGAAACATGTAGCGACAATCATGAGCCAGCAAAGTGCTGCACTACCCCTACACATCACGTATGCCGTGGGTGCTTTACAGTTAAGAGAGCTAAGTCGTAACACATGGGGTCAGGCACCCACGACAGTAGTATACTCAACAGAACTGACAGTTTTTTACAAGTGAAATCCCAATAAAAAGACGAGAACAAACAGCTTAACGAAGGGCAAACAATGGAAGAAACACTGTGAGCTTCGACAGTCTCTTTGGAAGACAAACATTTGAGTGTGGACAGCAGCGTCGATTCTACGTCAGCCGGGATCTAACATTGTGTGCTCAGTTATTAGAAATCTGTGTGCTTATGACCTTTTAAAGCCTTAGTAAAGCCCTTTGGCGATAATCTGGCTTAAGGAGAGGTGTTAGTCAATATTTTTCATAACACATCTGAGGCTCCTGGGTTTGGGGAAAGGGGGGGGGGGAGGATATCGACTTGTGCTTGATCGACGAATGTATTCTTGACTTTCTTTACGCTTGGCTTTACTAGTGCATGTCAACTTTAATTAAACCAACATGGCGGAATTAAATCATATCTACGACTAAGAAGAATAAACAATGTATTATACTGTCAAATTGTTGTGGAATGGTAAAAAACTTTGTCTGTTTTTAAGGTGTACTTAATTGAATAGTATAAGTATGGTAAGTGTTATGGTAATTCATATTACGGTCTAAGACAATCAAATGTATTCTGACACTGTGCCAGTCACCAACGCTATATACCAAACAGCATTAGTTTTGTTCCTTTATCTTTTAAAAGTATGGAGGACTATCTGTTTTGAAACTGATTTCATTTTTATAAGAATCATCTTGTGGAAGTGTTAACATGGACGTCAATATTTCTTAATTTATCATTTTATCCGAAAACGGTTTTGCCTTTCTGAAAATGTTGGAATTCATTCCCCTTCTGGATTCCGTAAATGTTGATTTTATTATTCATTAGTGTGCCAAGGAACTGAGTTGGACATGAACTTGATAGTTACATAATTAGAAAGATTTGATGATGATTGAGAGTGATGAAAGGTCAAGGTATGGCTGAAAGGCCTAATATTATGAACAATGAGTCATCTTCGTGTACTACTTCACCGTGACTACGATTAGAACGCCAGACCGCATACAGACAGACTGGTTGTTTCTGCAACGATGGGATTTTGTTTGTGAAAACATTCATTGAACTATCCTCAAGAATCTGGTCCACCAGACCTTTGGCTAATAAACAACTGGTTGTCATGGCGACCGTATCTTTTCCGTCTCCGTTCGGCAGCATGTGCTCCCCTCCTGTAGTCTCGGCAGACCCGGTGTATCGGGGTCGTAGTCTCAAGGCCTTGTGAGTCGTTTTTCTCATTTTGATAAATTGCAAACTGCACGAAGGATCTACGATGTCTCCGCAGAACAACTATCTTTTAGTTCCACGTTTTCTAAAACACTGGCTTTTTCTTGTTGTTGTTGTTGTTGTTGTTGTTGTCGTTGTTGTTGTTGTTGTTGTTGTTGTTGTTGTTGTTCTTCTTCTTCTTCTTCTTCTTCTTCTTCTTCTTCTTCTTCTTCTTCTTCTT